TAAATCATTGCCTCTTGAGTGACATAAAAGACAGTCTACCACACGATACTGCTGAAGTAAGTAATAAGCACTTCCAAGTAAATCCAGCATTTAGATGGAAAGATTTTGTACTTTCCTACAGTTCAGAAACATACCCTGTTAAGGAACTGGAGCAATGAAAATATCAACTTACTGCCATTTTATACCGTTCAGAATAAATGACTGAATTACAAGTGGCAACTACACTTTGTCAAATACAAAACAGGATTTGAGGAAGTACTTCGAGATTTGGGAGGGTTTGGAGAGAATGTGCTGGAATTTCTTGTCTTTGCTTGCAACATATACAACAAACGAAGGCAAGTTTTGCTTCATCTAGTGTCTATATCATGCCATGCAGAGATCCATCTTTTTCCATGATGTTTATCTGCCCTACAAAGCTTTCAAAAGACAGACAGTGAAGCTTGAGCAGGCTGCTACAAAAGAGATGAAGATCCATTTTGTTCCCTTTGGGAAGGGCAGTAAAATCTCAAACAGGCTGGTTGACATTCCTCCTCTCCACATCTTTTCTCAAAGGATCAAATCTTCTATGTTTTCTTCTACTGTGATCCCATCCACCATGAAAAATCAAGGAAGTGATCTAGGAAAGGGTATGGAAATACAATAGAGTCCTAGAAAAGAGACCAGGGAGCACTGAAGGAGAACTTGAAGAACAAGATTAACTGCTGGGCATGATGACAGTTAAGGCAATGACTACCTCCTGTAATGGGGACCAGACCCATATTCGAGTCTGTAATGGTGGACAACACCAGCTGTTAAATGCACAGTATAGATAGGGAGTGAATGTATAGAAAGTTCAGAAGCATGAAAGCCCATCCTGCAGCACCACCACAGCAGTGACAATGGCAAGCTGTTTACCCAAACATTATCTTTCTGTTTAACTCAAACACTGACTTGAAAAAAGTATTTTACAGCAACTCTTTGAGATCAGACTGTTTCAAACCCTAAAAATCAGAAAAGGAGACTTCTCAGAACTTCCAGAAAGATGGCAAGTCAGATCGAATGCTTAAAACCAGCTCCCTCAGAAGCCAAAACATAACTTCTGGTGCCTCAGGTCAGTGTTTAAGATAAGTAGAGTGAAACCAAGCCTAGGGTTGTATTTGCCTAGCTGAGAGCAAACAGATCCATGTTTGTCTGTCCAGTGCTCAGAGCTGACCAGTGACCAGTCCAGAAGAACCCATGGAACTGCAATACCTCCACACTCTGCCTCCCATTAGCTTTGTGTTTACAAAGGTATGTCATTAACACAGCTTCCAAACCAGGACGGTTGTCTATCCTATAAGCTACCTAAAGATATTCCCTCATCCCCAGAAGTAAAAGGCTTTTTGAAAGCCATCAGGAAAGTAAAACAAAAGCTAAGGATAGAAACTGGTGTCAGACAATCAAAGGTATATTTTTATGACAGAAGATATGAGACATTTGCTGTCAAGGCTCTCAAGTTAATGCTGGTTTCCCATTCTGAGATACCACCAGGCTCTTTGAAAGCTTTTTTTTTTAAGCTGGCAACACTGTTTTTCTAAAAATGTCTAACTGGGAGAGATAAAAGAGCCAGCAAGATCTAAAAAAGAACAGGCTGAAGATCTATTAGTGTTGTTCTCATCAGTTCAAACGAGTTTGCAGGCATAACTGAGGTGAGGCAGGGCACAGTACACCCTCTCTTTTTAACGAGAAAAAAAAATATATATACTGTTCTAAAGCTTTTAGGCAGAGTTCCTTTAAAAGGAAAAAGGATAAATACCTCAGACCCACAAGATATAAGCTATAAGCTTCATTTAGTCCTCTTGCCAGTCTGCCTTGTCCCATGCGAGAGCATGACTGACAGGTTCAGAGATGACCCTCCCGCCACCCTCCATGCCCAGCTGCAACCAGCCCAGCCAGGTCTGGCAACTCAGGAGCATACACAGCAGCTCAAGTGTCATGAGTAAGATCTTACCAATAGTTAGTCATCTTAGCCTCCTCTGAGAGCTAGTAAATTTATTATTCTGTTATTAAATTGCTCCAAAGCAAAGCATTTAAAAAGGATGCATTTTCATTTTATTAGTATGGTCATAAGAGATTGTCCAAGTGCTGCACCGATTTCTATCCAGCCTCTATTACTTAGGAACTAGACACACAGCCACTCAAATCTGTTTTTAGTGAAAGAAGTAGTTTAAAGACACTTCAGTGTCTTTAGTGAAAGAAGTACTAGTAAGTTCAGTGCCCAATAGTCACATAAGGACAAAAGATAGAAGTCATTACCTATTTATGCAGGAAAGTTAAAAACACAATATTAATAAACAATTACCTCACCCATGATAGTTCCATTCCAGGGACAATATAGTACAAATGTATCTATTAATTTGAATCTATGGAGTTTTCAGCTAACAGAAAAGTTATTTCAGAATCTTGCTATGCACGTTCACCTAAATGCTACAGGTTATGCACTGACTCTAGCATTGGAAAGGTCTAAGATGTGAAACTGCATCACTTCAATTATTTTCTCAGTGAATACTCAGTTTTAGAGCAAAAAAGACTGATTTCCTTCTGAACTTCATGCAAAGCACACCCATCATGGTAAGTTATTTCATGAAAATTCTCATGAGAGGGAATATATAAAATAATATGCATCAAGGCATACATTATTATTATAAATTCATGACATTACTGTTCTGAATTTTATTATTACTCACTCCTAATTATTTCTTGCATCTTTTTCACTTTTATGCCTTCACTAACACCATTTAAAGAGTTCTGCTTTTCACTACTTTATCCCATCTATTTTATGTCCTGTGAAAACAGCATAGAAGGCAGCAGTCTGCAGAATTCATTCAAGCAGTGTAAACATCAAGGACATTTTTAAAGCTAGAAGTGGATTTACTCTGCAAAGGCCAAAATTTGAAAAGAAGTTAAGATTTAACCAACTGAAAGCTAGGGTAAAGAAATGCAGTTCTCATGGAAGTCTTCTGACAAGCTAATCAATAGGTTATATTAATAAGAAAGAAAAGAGTCCTCTATATTCAACTAACATTAATGCAACTTATGTTTTATTTTTTAATCAACTAAAAATCAGTAGACTTGCACTCATAAGTTACAACTAGTTGATTTTGTCCTTTGAGGTTCAAAGCTGCACTAGGCAATGTTTCTGAAATTTAATACAGTTCAGCCAGGAATTAATTTGTTCATTGCTGAAATAGAGCTGTGAGCCTAGAATTAAGATTATTTTATGCCTATTCCACTCCCCCCCTAAAAGCAAATTAAAGACTACTTCAAATAATTTGCCCACTTAACACTGTATTTATTAACACTTTGTGTCAAACCAAAAGTTGATGCTATGGCTTGAAACTGATAAGCTGATAACTATTGCCAACAGTGTTTCACACATGTAATTTGTTACCCATGTGGGCATACTGTGGCCATTTAATTTCTTTTTATTTATGAGCTAAACAACTAGATATTAAGAGGCATCAAAAGGGCCAAGGGAATGTAAATGTCATGTAGCTGATATAGTTGGTGTGATGCCCAGAAGTCTTACAACAAAAAATGATAAAAGCTTTCAAGCATGTTAACTGGTCACGTATGAGATAAAAAGTCCTTTCCTATATAGTAACAAGTAAAGAGATAGCAAACAGGAAGTAGGCAGAACAGTCAGTTCGTGCTCAGTGGAAGATGCTGACCAGTGCTGTTCCACAGACACCTGTGTCCTCTGTTATATCCACTCATCAATGACCTGAAAGTTAGCTCATAAAACTAAGTCGGTCATCATCATTACGACCGCAAAGTTCTGCAGAAGAACTCTGCAGGACTGAGTGACCAGACAATAAACTTGCAGACTGAACTCAGTAGAGACAGGTGATACATATGTGGAAACAATAGTGTGAATGGACAAGCTCTGAGCTCATTACTGATGAAGGACAAAGTTCTTTGGGTAATACTATGCAGTTTCATGATCTGAAGAAAAGGAAGTAATGCAAAACAGCATACCACTGTAAAACTTCATAGGGTGTTCACACCCTGACTCTTGTGTGAAGCTTTGCTCTGCCTCCTGTTCTCCCCCCTTCCATCTTAACAAAGTGGGAAGAAGTAGAAGTCTGCAAATCTGTCCTCTTTCAGTTCAATTTGTTATTAGGGGTGTGTTGCAGGCAAGCAGACTGTGGGATTTACAGCATGGGAAAGTATAAATTGTAGACCCTATGGTGCAGCACACGTTTGTGCAGATACAGTTAATGGTACAACACTGGGATAATACTGGGGACCACGCAAACTCATTCATGCTTTATCCCAGGAATGGTCCACGATTCACCTATTTCCTGAACTATGCCCATGCCAGTGAGCATACTAATAGTTAAGCAGCCACAGACTATCAGATCCAGTAACTCAGCTTGTTCCCCATCCCAGTTTTAATCCACAGCACAGATTCCAGCCCTATTTATCAACCCTGTTTTTAATACTCCAACCCTCTGTGAGATAGCTGCTTTTGGCTACAGAGTTCCCTTACAGGCAGGACAGGAGTCACTCCTGGGCATAGCCACAGTCCCTTCCTTCCCTAGCTAACTGGAGAGGAAGAAACACGTTTTAGTCCCAGGACTAATATGTGTGGTGTTCCCTAAGAGATAATCTCTCCCCCATGAATCTGCCACCCACCTTCCCCTCACATGTTGCATATGACATGTTGCACATGTCACAGGATGCCTTTCTAACAGGTACAGTCTTTGTTGCACATAGAGGTCAGCAATTGTCTCAGTTTAGCTACCAGCCTCTTCCAACATAACCCAGAAGAAACTTGCAAGAACTCTTGAGTAGCAAACCCTGCAAAGAGGCGTATCTCCCACATCAAGATACTAGGCTAGAAAGAACTTCAATTTTAACAAGTACAACTATACTTACGTGGTCAGGATGCTGAACTCTTCACTGCCCACTTACCGCACAGCGCAGCTCTTGATCATCTTTCTAAGCTGTTAGCTGGAAGTTGTCAAATCTTTGCTTACCTGAATGAAAGTAGCACCCTCTACTGCTGCCTTCAGGTCTGTACAGGTGCTAATGAGAGCCAACTGCTGCTCCGCACTCAAGGTCCCTCTCAGGCATCCCGACTCCTCCAGCTCTTTCATTTGTTTGCTGCCAGAAACAACATAGGCATTTAATTTAACATTGTTAAGCCACCATTAGCTTTTTAAAAAGCTTCATAACGAAGCAGTAACTATGCTGTTTCCCATGGCACTGCATATATTTATACTCAAAAATTTAAAGGTAAATTTTAGTAGTTTCTCTTTGCTCACCCATTTTATAAGATTTTTTTCTCCTCTCGAAGCATAGACAGCTCTAAGACCGACTCCTACGTGCAAGCTTGTCACCACCTCAAACCATTTTCACTAAGCAAGAGTTTTTCTGCTCCGATTTAATGGTAAGAGAGGTCTCTTTAATATTTTTTGTCTATTTTTACAAACCACAGCTCTTTTGTTATGAAGCCTCAATACAGGAACACTGTTTAACTGTATAGGAATAAATAAACACATTCCATAGGAGTCCTTCCGAAAAAAACCCTACCACTACACAAGTGATGACTATAGAATAAGTGTCAAAAATTCAAGTAGTTACTAAATTGAGCGGCTAGAGCTTGAACATTCAGGTACACACCACTGCTCAGGCTGGGCATGCCACTTTCTTAGCAGAAGCCTCTACAGTTTGAAGCCCTCAAAAGTCCAGAGCAAGCAAGCCATTTTCAAAACTGTTAAAAGTCACTTAGAGGAGCAATTTCAACAGAAATTAACTGGGATTAAAGGATTGGATTTCTGATACAAGCCAGGATGCTCTTGGCCTTATAGGCCACCTGGGCACATGGATGGCTCATATTCAGCCAGCTGCTGACCAACACACCCAGGTCCTTTTCTGCCAGGCAGCTTTCCAGACACTGTAGCATTGCCTGGGGTTGTTGTGATCCAAGTGTAGGACGCAGCACTTGGCCTTGCTGAACCTCATACTACTGGCCTCAGCCCATTGCTCCAGCCTGTCCAGATCCCTCTGCAGAGCCTCCCCACCCTCAAGCAGATCTACACTTCTGCCCAGCTTGGTGTAATCTGCAGACTTACTGAGGGTGCCCTTGACCTCTTCTTCCAGATCATTGTTACAGATACTAAAGAGAACAGGCCCAAATACTGAGCCCTGGGGAACACCATTTCTGACCAGCTGCCAACTGGATTTATCTCCATTCACAGCCACTCTTTGGGCTTGGCCACTCAGTCAGTTTTTAACCCAGAAAAGGGTGTACCAGTCTATGCCATAAGCAGTCAGTTTCTCGAGGAGAAAGCTGTGGCAAAGTGTCAAAGGCTTTACTGAAGTCCAGGTAGACAACACAGCCTTTCTCTCTTCCACTAAGCAGGTCACCTTGTCATAGGAGATCACGTTACTCAAACAGGACCTGCCTTTTGTAAACCCATGCTGACTGGGCCTGACCACCTGGTTGTCCTGTATGCACCATGTGATGGCACTCAGGTTGATCTGCTCCATAACCTTCCCTGGCACTGAGGTCAGACTGAGAGGCCTGAAGCTCCCCAGATCCTCCTTCTGGCCCTTCATGTAGATAGGCATCACATTTGCTAAGCTCCAGTCAACTGGAACCTCCCCAGTTAGCCAGGACTGCTGGTGATGATGGGAAGTGCCTTGATGAGCACTTCTGCCAGCTCCCTCAGTACCCTTGAGTGGGCACAACAAATAAATTGCACTTGCCACACAGATGGAGGGGAGAAAAGCCGTAGCAAACAGAAGCTAAAGATCTTGGAAAAAAGTTAGTGTATTTTTTACACAAATCATATAACTGAATATCAAAATAACCAGTGATCCATCATGTGTTTCCTCAGTGACTGGGGCACACATGACAGTCTACATTAGGAGCTTTATGGGACATTACATGTTAAATGACTACAACTTACTTATATGGGCCCAGATGATCTGCACTCCCAACCACACCTCGGTCTTTAACACACCTGCCCAAGCCCCTCCATGTATCCACACAGTAAAACTGGATTTATTTGTTTATTTAGAGGCCTCAGAGGAGACAGGAACCCAGATGTTTGTCACAATCTACAACAGCCAGAGACAGACAACTTCCTTAGTCCTTAGGAAGCAGGACAGGCAGCCAACCACAGTGTTGGGATAATGTCAGCCCCAGACAACTTCTCCTATCCAGCTCCAGCACTTACACCTCAGGGCAGAATTTCCTCACATGGGGACAGGGACTGCTGCAGCCACCAGCAATCCTAACACACCAGACAGGGAGCAACTGGATTCCAGCTTTCTGTTGTTTTATGAAGTTGTGTGATGTATCATCTATTTTTCAAGCAGCATTTTAAATTAATTGAAAAAGGGATAGGGATGTAGGCCGCTGCCTTTTTTTCTCTCTACTCCTTTCAGACCACCAGCGCTGAGCAATGTATGGTGATATACCTGCACTTTGTCAAACCATCCTTTTAGAGTTCTTTCCTGCCAATGAGCATTGAATCCATAGATCACATGGATTCACAAGTATTAAGCTTACTCCTCCAGATTCTCCTAAACAGAGTGGGATTAATTTCACCTACTCTGCCAACATCCAGATCAGAGACAATGATCTTCAGCTCTCTTTCAGAGAAGGGAGGACCAAGTGCTTCATGTGCATTTGTCTGATCTTTTTTAGGCATCCAAGCATGCAGTCTTGTCTTATAATGAAAGTACCTTCTCCTCCCAAGAGACAGTAGCTCAGAATGAGACACTTAGACCACAGTATTCTGAACTCCAAGATGAAAGTTTGCAGGGATTTATTTAAAGGCAATCCAGTCCCTGAACTGTTTTTAGCAGAGGACTTAATAGTGTTGGCTTAATTGTTGGACTTGATGATCTTAAAGGTCTCTTCCAACCTAAAGGGTTCTACGATTCTATAGAGAAGCAAGTCACATGTCAGCAGAGATTCACTGAGCTCTCAGACCTTTCACTTGAACTGGCTCATTAAATCTACCATTAACTTTCAAAGAATCAAAATTTTACTTCAGCATCCACATAGCTGTGTTGTGTCCAAGAAAATACAGCAAATATAGGCTCTACTAGTTTTATGTTGGCTTAATAAGAGGTCATAAGTATCTGCCACTCTGTAAGTTACTTTGATGTCCTTTCTTCTACTCTGAATGGTGGAAAAGGGAACATTTGTCTCCCAGCAAAGAAAACAGTTTCCTAATATTTCTTTCTGACACCAAACCAGAGTGGCAATACCTTATCCTTGGAGCAATTCCACTAAAAATCAAGGTAAAGAGCACGCAGTGGACACTTAGTAGTAGCCAAAAACGCACAGAGCAGTTTTGCTCCTAGTTTAGCACACTAGTCAAATGAAACAAATACCTTCAGATCACCATGGACTTTGCACACTAAAATCAAAGTATTTCCAGTAACTTGGGAGTAGGTAAGATGTCAACAGAGGCTGTGTTTGAAGCTGGTAAAGGTGCCAGTGAGATTCTGAACTGGAATGTGCACCCATATTTAGGATTAGGAAGAACAAAACCATCATCTAGTATTCACATGCATGTTCCCACAGGGCACTAACTCTTACAAGCATTAACTTTCTCCTCTTCAATTAACTTCATCAACTAATTCCAGATAATAATTTCTAACACTTTCTTTTAATTTTTGTTACAGATGATTATGGACAATGATTTGTGCCTTTTTTAGGCAGACCATGCCTGGGTAAGCAGCTAGGCACTGCGTGCTCTCAACATTGGACAAGAGCTTTTGAAATGTTCAATTAATTCTTAGCTGGAAAAGGAAGCCAAGAGACATACACATTTTAGACACTTCTCAGGTCTCTCCTGTCTTAAGGTTGGACTGATTTTTTTCCTCCTGAACAACTACCTTCCTGTTAACATCATCAATCTTCATGTCAGCCATTTATTTAAACCAGCATGGTTATTTAAAGCATGGAATACAGAACATATGCATTACTTAAATGCTGGCCTGACTTCCTAGAAAATTTTCTTCTTTGGGGCCATTCAACAATATATTTATTGACATTCTGGTTGTTTTGTTCCACAAATGAATTTTAAGTCTTCCAAATGATAAACTCTCTTTACAGTCGCCATGGATATTAGATTGCCATCTATGGGCAGATGTAATTGCCATCTAGTGGGCAAAGGGAGGGAGCATGCCCTGATACTTGGCACCCATTAGGGCACAAACCAGCTTGGTTGTACAAACAGCAGTGCACCACTGACCTCTGCTGGATGACAAACGTTTAACTCAAAGCAGCCTAGACTTCAGGGTGAACATCCCTGAGCACCACCACAGACTGACATCATTGCAGGCACGTCCATAGCACATGCCACAGGACTTTGCTCTGCAGTTGTATCAAGTGCACAGCTTCAAGAGTTTGACTCACTACCTGTAAGGTCTTAGAAGAATGAAAATTTCATGCCCATAAGAAAATTATACTTCCTTATAGAGCCTATATTTTGTCTACATCCAGAGTTTCACTGTTGTACCTGACTGCCCATGTCAACACTGCTCTAGGAAGTGTGCCCTTATTTACTTCAAGATAAGGCACCCAATCTATAGTAACACTCCTAATCACATAAACTGCCTGGAATATTCTTTGATACAACTCCTACTCTAAAAGTCTTTACAGAAAGACCTCACAAGAGATGCTAACACTAAACCCATCTTGTTGACACTCCACTGTCTCACCTTTACCACAAGTACTATTGGGCAGTCATGGTATTCAGCACATATTGGTTCCAACTAGCAAGATTGAAGGCCACTTAATCACAAACTTACTGCTCAAACCAGGAAGGAGACGGGAAGAAAAAGAAGACAACATCAATACTATTCTCCTCAATTTCAGCCAGCCACCACTGCCCAAAGACAAGGACCATTAACCAGTCATGGCACTAGTATCTAGTGCTGACCAATAAATGACAGGGTAGTTGCCATGGCAAAAAAAAATAAAAATAAAATAATAATAAAAAAAAAAATCAAAAACATACATCATTGGTCACATATGTCTAGCCTGAAATACAACAGACCAGGAAGGCAACTGAAGGCCCCCAATACTGGGACCAGCTCACTGTCCACACAGTTTTGTATATTTTATTTTTTGTATTATTCCCCTAATCTTTGTATATATTATTTTCCTTACCTCCCTTTCTCGTTTTCTGTTCCTTGTTGAACAATATACTTAATTTTTTTTCCAAAGTCTCTCTCTCTCTCTCTCAGGGGGGGAGAGGCGAGTACATAGTTCTGTTCCATGTGGGTCCTGCCCTGAACCCCTTTTTACATGGAACCAGGACACCATGAGAGCACAGATTTTTTAACAGGAAAATGCAGTTTTGCCATTCTGTTTTTCCACAGTAAATGCAGAGTTGCCAATATTGCAGGGTCTGCAACTCATTACAAGTCACTATTTACCCTCAGAAGATCAATTCCAATGTGTCCCCAAATCTAGTGAGCTAAATAAGTTCACCTGTCAGGTTTGTCAAAATCCTTTTGGCATCTTGGTGCCAGAACTGAGAAGTTTATGCTGGGAAAGGCTTCCTGCTAGGAACCATTGTCTACTTCCTTGGCCTTGTGACCACCAGGCACTCCATTACAAGTTCCAAATCACCATTCAGAACAGTACAGAATTCTTAAAGTACTTCACTCAGCCAGGAGCAGGGTGATGCCACTTTTTTCTACATCCTGTGTCTTATGCATTTTTCATAGCAATTGTGCTCCTACAGCACAGAAAAAGTTAAGGTTGCTTAGTGCAATACTGCACTTCACTAGGTATCAAGCCAAATAAAATGTATGGTTAAATTAATACTTAATGAAGAGAGGAATTGCGATATTCTGATCTCAAGACTCTGGGCTCCAACTCTTTGAAGGCCTAATGTCTTTGAACCATGCAGAAGAGCAACCTATAGTCAGATAAAGCTGACATGCAAGCAATTCTCACTGAACAGCCTCACTTCTGAGTTTAGATTCAGTATCACTCAACCTCAGCACCATGTACCAGTTTTCAAAAGGAAGAGTTCTATAGATCTCACTAATTATTTTTAATTAATTAAAAATAAATTAATAAATTTACATTTAAGGGAGAGGGTCCCTATTGTTTAATAAAGAAAGAGTCAAGGCTGCTTCCCTTCTAACCAAATATTTCCATGTCTTGATACTAGTACTGCATTTCACATGTTTTAACATTTAACAAAATTAACCGTTTAACAAAAGTAGCCATAAAAAAAGTAGCCATAGCAGTTTTACATGTCCCTGTCCCTAGGTACAACCACAACTTCACAAAGTCAACTTCAGCCCGTTGCAGAAGATTTTTCTACTTGGGCAAAGAGATGAACAGAAAGATTAGAAGATAGTAAGAGCTCCTAGTATAAATTTACTGTTCTGTGCAGTTGAATTTAGTAGTCTTAAAAATAATCTTGTCTTAATATTTTATCACAGACTGCTTCCTGGGATGATCTAAATTTTTTTCCTGAAGTTAACTATAGCATTTACATGTACAACTATTTGGGTTTTTTAATATATATCAAAACCAGTTACCTGCTCCTGTGGCCTGGAGTAGATACAGTTTTATATCTAAGTAGGCATCATATTTAACCAGTGTCTACTTCTGGAATGAAATCACAGAATGCATGTGCAAATATCCAAGTTTTACTGTCTTCTTCAGAGTCAGCTGAACTTTTCTGCCTTGCAATAGTCTTTCATTATACATGCAAAAAACTGTTCTACATAAAGCATGAACAAGTTATGCAAAGGAAAAAGAATATATAGCACTTCCACTGTAATTACCCAATCTATATTAGCAGAACAACTATGTTTATAACAGTAGCAGAATAATTACTTGAAAAAAAGTTTATGTATTACAAAAAATCATTAAAGGTTTTTGGGAGGCATGCACTAAAGCACTTCTGAATGTTTTAGCATTACTTCAGGAATAGGGTATTACTTGTTTGTCTAATTCTCATTATTTTGAAGTTTAGCAAACTTGCACTCAACCCAGAATCACACAGACTCAGAAGAAAGCATACTGGATATGAAAAGACACATTTTCCAAGGCAGGTTACTACAGTGTGAACTCAGTAGGTGAAATGTGGCATAAAGCTGTTCACTAGTCTGTTTCCTGAGCCGAAGAAAAAGTTGTTCCATTAGAGCAGACACTGGTTAATAATGCCACCAGTACACCCAGTTCAATCCAATGTGCAGTCATTTTGCATGCTGGGGGACTGACTGCCACGTGTCTGGCAACAGGTAGATAGGCAGTAAATCCACCGTACCATGTTAGGCCCTGATAAACACACTCTCTGGTCTGTACGTGGTCTACTGATGTTGCACCAACCTGTTACGTGTTTCCACTTGTTTCAGGAGATTCAAATTCCACACTTTAATCTTGTTTTGCACTTATAATCAAACATTTTTATTAAATTTATGGAGTATATTTCAGATTTTCCACAGAGATAAATGCAGGCTCTCGTGATCATTGCCAGTCCATCCCAGACACACTCCAATCCTCTTCCAAGACCACACACCTACTGTTCTGTGAGACCTGAATTCACTAAGCTAATGAACCCTGAGATGCCCTTTGTGTAAATTCAGAACAAGTTAGAAGTTAACGAACGTACTCAATGTCCACCACATAAAACAGTTAATAAACACTTAATTACTTATAGGTCTCTTTACAAAAAGTAATATGTGATAGGACAAGACAAAATGGCCTCAAGCTGTGCCAGGGAGGTTTAGGTTGGATATTAGGAAAAATTTCTTCACTGAAAGGGTTGTCAAGCACGGGACCAGGCTGCCCAGAGAAGTGGTTGAACCACCATCCCCGGACATGTTTATAAGATATGTAGATATGGTGCTTAGGGACATGGTTTAGCAGTGGACTTGGCAGAGGAAGGTTAATGGTTGGACTCAACAACCTTAAAGGCCTTTTCTGACCTAAAAGATTCTATGATTCTAAGTATCATTTCTGTCACAGGAGGACAACCTCCTTTTAGAAGTGAATGTTGTTTACTACTCAAATCCCACTTTTATTTCATGAGGAAATGGAAAAATTACAAACAGCCCTCTGTACACTTATTTCTCAATACGCAGAGTACCTCCATACACTAAATATTCATGGACTACAGACTAGAGTGGAACAAATACTTGTCAATACTAAGCTAAAGAAATAAAACCCAAAAACCCTAAGTCTAAAAACTTTCCTAGAAGTACTAGCTATTTGACGAGCTATTTGTCAGTTGCTGTCTTGCAAGCCCTCAGTACTGACTCAAGCTCCAGCTCTTACAAAAGTATCGTAACAGTAACTCAAAGGTATTTACTGCAGGTTGTGTGCTATAAAATCAGTGCAAAGAAGTTCAAGTTTGACCGTATTTTGATAGATACAATCATTAAAATGCTGGCTGAAGAAACTGCATAGCTCACATTCTTGTCACAAAAACTACGTTGTCCTTCGGGCAATAGAACCAACCAGCCACTGTCCCTTCTAACATTAAGAACATAAGAACTGGGGGCCAAACAAAGCAACTGAGGAGCCAGGCTGAAAACAAACAAAAGGGAATAGCTCTTCACACGGTGAGCAGTAAACCTGCAGAACACAAAGTCCATTGGCAAGGAGGCTGCAAAAGGATTTACACAGGTTCAAGAGAAGGTTAGAGAAACACTTGGAAGAAATCTAGAGTTACTGAATACACAAGCAACTTCGAGGCACTGAAGGTTGGGGCAGGGGAGCAGATGGGCAGCACTTGAACTTGTAGCTCTGCTGTGTACCAAAAGCATGTGGCTTTAGCCATAGTGCCACAGGGTAAAAGGCTGGATAATTGTTGGTCTGAACCAATGGGGCTGTTCTTGTGCCCATGTTCTCAAATTTGCTCCTTCTAAAGATGCTTCTCAGGCTCTAATATAATAGATCAGTAGTTGCATCATTAGTGGAACTAGCCATCTGCTCTTCTAGGACTCAAAATAATATTAGTTTTAAGAATTTTAAAAATTCTATTTATAAAATACAAATCATTGTAGCAGGACTCAGCAATCTGTATTAACCTACTTCCATTTTGAAAGTCTTCATTCTTTCTATGCAAAAACTCTTATGTTCATGTATTTTGAGTCTATAGATAACATAATCATGTTAAGAATTTGGATCTAAACTTAAGCTCTTCAGTAATTACTTCAGAACTAAAGTGCTCTCCAGAAATGTCATTGAGAGGCTTGGGAGCACAGTTCATCTGATCTTACCAGGACCTGTACTTCTAACTTAAAGCCTTCTTCCAAACTCAAAAGCTACATTCCCTTAAATAGTAAGATGTGGCTATTAATTAATAATTACAGAAATCCCAGTTTCATTACAATCCCAGTCATTTGAAGTCAGGTGACCTACCGAATGTTTTCCAGTGCATTTGTTAGCTGTTGTTGTGCAATATCATAAAGATTCACTTTGAAGCCTCCAGCAGCAAACACCATGGCCCAGCTGCAACCAATGAGCCCACTGAAAAGAAAATAAATATCAGCCAATTACTAAAGAAGCATTTATTTGTGGGAAGGGGTTCTTACAAGAATTGCAAGAAGAAAAAAAAGAGCCTGGACGCTTCAATATTTGATTAAAAGATTGGTTACATATTCATAAGAAACAAATCTCTCTCTAAAAAGAGAAATATCCTTTATTAGCTGTGTAGCAGCCTCTCCAAGAGCTGAGAGAAAGGTAATGAGGAAGGAAAAAACCCTAAACAAACAAAAAAAGTACAGCAGAATTTAAACAGTAGGAACCACTGCTTCAGGATACTGGACTCAGTTATCAAGTTTTGTCAGCTACAATCTTAACCTGGAGTCAGTGCATCAAATTACATTAAAGAGAATTTTTTTTAAAAAAATAAATTTATTTGTTCAGTTCATAGTCTAAAGATGGACAGCAGCACATTGGTCTAAGAGTTCAGAATCCTGCTCCAGAGATGATCAAAATAAAACTAAGGCCAAGCTACTTAAATCATGGGTTCCTCAGCAATTCACGAGTACCATAAGCATGTGAAAAGGAAAAAAAAACCAACAACCAGACATGGTTTTGATACTACTTTTCCACACACCCACCTCTAGCACTATCTTTATTTTTAGATTAAGTACTCTGCCATGCTGGAAGCATGCAGGAACAGTCTGTCTACATCTTCTGGTGAAGTTGCATTACTGAGAAATACCTAGAGGAAACTTGCAGTAACTGACAATTTTATCACATCTCTCAATGTGGGTTTTAACCTAAGATTTATAGAAGCCACCAGCCTCTTCATATGGAAGCACAGTGTCATAAGCTTAAACAACCTAAGATCATTTAAAAAAAATTCTAAAATTCCATAACAGAGACAAGAGTAGAACTCCATACCCATGATTGTTACAGGGGGTTTGTTAATAATTACATGCATTTCCTGTCATTTCTGAGATTGTTGTATTTGCAGCATTAAGTTTAAGCAATCTCTGGCAACTAGAAAATGCGAGGCCACTAGGGCATCAATAAAAGGTTAAAAGGAGAGTAAAAGAGATAAAGCAATAGGGAGGATGAAAAAAGAAGGAAGAGAAAACAGGAACATGTTCAGCCTTTGGTTTAAATATAAAGGCAAAAAAAGGGAACAAAACAGGAAGTTTCAGGAAACAACAGGAATCAGTGGAAATAACTGCGACAAAAAAAAAAAAAAAAAAAAAAAAGAGGAATGAAACTTTGCATTTAGTGTTAAGGGGACAGCAAGTTCTCGCTCAAAACTTGCTGTTTCAAAAAAGAAAAAAAACACACACAATTCCACTGGTGTAAGCCCAGACCGCAGCAGTTCTCAGGCAAAAGTACAGAACAAACATACTTACAGAAAAGGTAAGATACGTGTCAAAACTCGTTAGCTACTGTAGCTTCCTGGCTAACAAGCAGTTGAAAATAAAAGCACTTAAACCTTAAACAGGTAAATCTGGGTTACTGGTATCTTTATAAATTAGCGTCATCTCTCTCAAGCTGCACTTTAAGTTCCCTTGAACAACTATTTGATTTAAAAAACAAAAAGTTTTTTTTAAAACAGGTTTTTAGGATTGTGAGGTTTGGTTTCCTTTCGATCTACAGAGCAAAGTAAGTCGGTGGTAGTATCCGGCCTGCACTGTTACTCTGTTGCACACAACAGCAACATTACAACCTGATGTTAGCATATCTTACTCCAAGACAGCACTTTTGGACGCTTTATCACTGCCATTTTGCATAGATAAAATACTAACAACCAGGTCTTCTCATACAGATTTTCTCACACACCTTCTGCGGGTGCTACCAGAAACAGTTCTACCTTCAGTGCAATTGCACCGCAGCAGCTGCAGAGAGCGAGAGCCCAGCTCTCCCGACCCTTCGCACCAAGGGCCAGCTCTGTCACCGGCACCGATGGCACCGAGACATGTGTCCTAACACCTCAGGTGATCTCACTAATGATCTTTGTTGCTGGCCACGCTCCTAGCACCAAGTTACAGTGGTGCGTATGGGGCTGTTACTGTCTGACACGTATTTCCTCTCCCCACCACATTACTGCTCAAACAAAGAACTTCAGTTTTAGCCCAAAAGAGAATGAAACAACGCATTCCCACACAAGTCAGAAATACCACTGTGTCTTGTGGCAAGGAAGTATTGCTGCAGGACTGCCCAAGAGAAACTTCTGAGTTTCTTGACAGAGTTGACAAACGGGATCTTAGGATTTCTCCTCTCCTCTTACACAAAACGTTGCAGTGAGTAAGGGTAGCAGTCTTTCAGACCTAAAGCATGATTTGCTGCTAGTACAGATGCCGTGGATGTTCGTTTTGTTGTTTTTTTTTTTAAAAGTAGTTTTTTACAAAGCTGTCAGGGACTTGAGCAAAGACGCTCTCTCTAAGGAGGCAAACAGGTGCACCCCCAGGGTCCTGGATTCCAGGAGCCGCAGGACCCCAGAGCCCTCCCCCGCGCCACCCCTGGCCCCAGCCCGGCTCTGCCCGGCGGGGACGGCACACTCCGACACCCAC